CATCATCATCGTCATCATCTTCATCATCATCGTCGTAATCATCATCGTCGTCGTCATCGTCATAATCGTCATCATCATCGTTATCGTCATCCTCCGACAGTTTATTTATCATCATAATAACAATAATAATAATGTAATGTTAAAAATTAAAAAATAATAATTATTATCATTAATATTTTAATCAAAATTATAAAAACTGTTGTTTACATTGTTGATGTAATTATTACGATACTTTATTTAATGAATAACATCCATGCAAGAAGATGCATGTTGGGTTTCTTATGTGATGACATTAAAACAATTTCCTCTTTTTTTTAATTCATCATTATCATCTTAATTATTCACCATAATCTTAATAATCGCCATTTTGTCTTATAAACTGATTATCGTCTAATCATCTTAATCGACACAATAATTAATTAATTAATTAATCATTAATTAATTAATAATTCATTCATTCATTCATTAATGATATATAATAATAATTAATGATATATAATAATATTAATAATAATAATAATAATAACAGTAATAATATTATTAATATTATTATATTATTATTATCATTGTTATTATATTATTTTTTTTTCTTATTATTATTGTTGATATTATTATAAGATCTGAAGGAACATGATTAGACCCATGTCCATCCATGCACAACTGATGTGATATTGATGATGTTGCTTCATAACACATTCCTATGTTTGTTTGTATGTATGTATGTATGTATGTATGTTTATATGTGTATGTATGTTTATTTGTGTATGTATGTATGTATTTATGAATGTATGTATGTATGTATGTATGTTTATGTGTGTATGTATGTATGTATGTTCATGTGTGTATGTATGTTCATGTGTATATGTATGTATGTATGTATGTTCATGTGTGTATGTATGTTTATGTGTGTATGTATGTATGTATTTATGAATGTATGTATGTACGTATGTTTATGTGTGTATGTATGTATGTATGTATGTATGTGTGTGTGTGTATGTGTGTGTGTATGTATGTATGTATGCATTTATGTACGAATGTATGTTTAGTGTATGCAATAATTGAATCTTCATGGTTTTTAACAATCTGTTTGTATACCGTTTTTTTTATTAGTTTATAACTATTAAAAACTTTTTAAATAAATTTGTAATTTTTTCATTTTGTTGTTACACGTTGTGTTCGCAATAAGATTTCTGTCAGTTTCTCTTAAGAACGGCGTCCATTCCTTAGTGCCCAGAGTTGAGCGAGGTGAACTTTTCAATAAAAATAAAGTGAAAAATTTAACGTTTCACAATTTAGTGATAATTTAATCAGTGAGTATTATTTAATTAATTATTCTAAAGTTATAATACTGAATTTTAATTTATATTCATCAGCAAAATGTTTGAGTAATGTTCGTAGTTTATTTTCTTGAGAAAGTTCCTCCCTATTCACACAAAGAATAAAAATGTAGACGCTAATTTCATTGTAGCTTTATTTTTATAGAAGCATTTGTTTCAGGAGTTTATTTCCAAGTAGCTTTTTAATGACGGCTTTATCTAGTTAATAAAATTTTTATCTTCCCACAAAATATCAACACTAAGAAGTGACGTCGGTGCTATGAATTACCATTTATGTTTCATTTCACTACATGAGGTCGTAACTTTAGCAATATAACAGCAATCAGTGTTTGAATGATGTAATCTAATGATAATAGAGAGGTGATGTTCACTTGTTGCCGCTGATATTGAATAGGATGATGATGTTGCTGTTGTTCGATTTCACAACAATTTCACAAAGAATATTTCACATTTTATTGATGTTGTTGATGATGATGATGATGTTGTTGTTGTTGATGAAGATGATGATGATGATGAGGATGATAGCGCTCAACACTGTCTTAGTGAGATAATATGCAATTATCGCTGTAATCCTCTTCATGAATTATCCCAACTATGTTCTTCTACAATCTAGATGTTCACTCTTTTCATTTTTACTTTTATGTTCATCATACACGCGTTCACTATGTTCGCCATGTTCACCATGTTTATGTTCACTATGTTCATGTTTACGACGTTCATGTCACCATAATCAAGCTGTCGTTTGTTTCTTCTGATGTTCAAATATTTGCGAGCCATCTGTTTGGGATTAGATTTAATGTCTCAAAGTGCTATAAAAATATGTATCGCTTGTTTGATTGCTATGAAAGTTTATAATGTTTATGAGATTTATTTAATGATTAAGTTGAGATGTCATTCATATACGAATGTTGTTGTTTGATTGTTTGTTTTAAAGTCTCGAGCTAAGTTGTCATGTGCCTGTCAAGGAGATTTTGTAATGCCAACAGGTTAATTGATTTACAAAGATGTGCTGATTAACTCACTATTTTAAACGACAATATAAGAATGCACCAAACAAATCAACCAATCAATCAATTAATCAATCAATCAACCAATCAATCAATCAAATCATCATCAACCACCAAACTTTTCAACCCTCCCATCAGCAGCTCCCGAACAGTTGTACCATGGCAACTTGGTCAGCAGCCATGCATGTTCCTTCCAAGATAGTGAGTTCTCTCATGCTTAATTTTTTATTATTAGCTTCAATTTTTAATTTAATCTAAATTACTTTTTTAAGATTCAGTTTTAAAATCGCTTTTTTTCATAATTAATAAATTGGTTAAAAAGTAAAAAAATAAAATGTGAAATATTCTTTGTGAAATTGTTTATGGTTTTGTGGCGAACCTTTTATTTATATGACTTTTATTGATTGCTGATCACTTATTTAAAATATGATTTACGTTTGACACAAGATTACAGAATACGTTTTGCAATCTTAAAAACTATCTACCAGTATAAATGATCGGCCACTTTTATAATTACTGTAGCCAACGTGCTAGCGTCTGAGTTCATCGAGACAGAACCAGCGTCTTTCAGCGATCAGTATCAGAGAGATTTGTCTTTATCAACTCTTATTTGAATAATTTAAAAGTGAAATTAGTTTAATGTAAACATTCAAAACATTTAACAACTATTATAATATATATATATATATATATATATATTCTTAATCCAATATATTTATATATATATTATATATATAAAATAAAATATATACATCTTTATATATCGTATTTACTACGTTTTGAGATAAATATATATCCATTAATAGTTGTAATTAATTGGAGCTCACTGTATACATAATTAAAGTACCTATATGAACACATTGGTATATATATATATATTTATATATGTGTGTGTGTGTTTATGTGTGTGCGCATACAAGCAACGCGTGCATAGACATGTAGACACACGGAAATATACAAATAAGCAAACATAAACGTACACACATTAACATACACATACGTGCAAACTGAAATATACGTATATAAACTTATACACACACACACATATACATAACACATTCAAGTTTATTCACGCAAACATTAACACATACTCGCGCATAAAACACACACACATGCACAACACACACCCATAACACACACACACACACATACATACATACATACATACATACATACATACATACATACATACATACATACATACATACAGAGATTTGCCGTTGGTTTCAGACTTGGCCTAAGTTTAGAAAATAAATATCTGTGTCGTTGCGGCGCGGAGGCGGACGAATTTGGTCATCATGGTTTGGTTTGCCGTTTAGGTGGAGGCCGTCAACTTCGTCATTCAGCTTTGAATGGTTACATTTGTCGGCTTTTCTCTAAAGCTTCTATTCCTGTTTTGAAGAAACCATCTGGCATTTCAGTGTAAGATGGCAAGCGACCAGACGGTTGTACTCTTACTCCCTGGAGAGCCGGTAAATGTTTGGCTTGGGATGTTACGGTTCCTGGTACCTTGGCCGAGCGCTACGTTCACCTTATTAGCAAAGAATGTGGTTTGGCTGCAATCAGGGCATCGGACGAAAAAATTAAAAAATATAAACACGCCCTGCCTTCCTTAGATTTTTTGCCAATATGTATCGAGGTCCTTAGACCCATGGACCCCAATACTTCAAAATTTATTAAAACATTGTGTAAAATGATTGGCGTTCGGTCAGGTGACAACAGAGAGTTCTTTTTTGCAATAAACCACATCTCGTGTTTGTTGCAGCGATTTCTGCGTGTTTGTGTGTCGGAAAATATTAATTTAAACGCCGACGTGTGAGACTAACGATACATTAAAGTGTTAACCCTTTTAATCAGATGTTTGACTGTTTGGTGTCATTCATCACGATTTGGTTTTAACATACATACATACATTCATACATACATACATTCATACATACATACATACATACATACATACATACATACATACATACATACATACATACATACATACATACATACATACATACATACATACATACATACATACATACATACATACATACATACATACATACATACATACATACATACATACATACATACATACATACATACATACATACATACATACATACATACATACATACATACATACATACATACATACATACATACACAGACATAGGAGGATGTAAACACAGACATGCACGCACATATCAGATGCACCGTATTGTATAATACATGTTGATGATGTTGTAACGCTCCAATGCTTCTGTTTATATAATCCTAAATGTTTATATGCAGCTTTTTCTGTGTATGTTTATGATTGTGGTTTGTATGTGTTTGTTTATATCTGTGATTTGGTTTATATTTATGTTCATGTATGTTTAAGAGAATCATTATATCCATGTATGAAAGTTTATGAACATTCGTGTCAGGTTATTTTTTATGTTTTTTGGCGAATTTTTTAAGACATTTTGCCTTCGGTATGTTTACATTGTCCTCACGTGTCATCATTGTTGTAATTGTTTGCTCCCCTTCAAAAAATTTTATTGCTTTTATGTCTCCATTCATTCATTTATTTAAAAATTTTTTTCATTGTTTAATTTTCAATTACGCTTAAGTTGATTTACGACGAATGATGATACGAACCATTGAAATAAAATCAGGTCACGGGGGGGTGAACCAACTGGGGGGCGTTTTCGTGAATGGCAGGCCCCTACCCGACATGGTGCGCCAACGAATTGTTGAGATGGCCCACCAGGGCGTCAGACCTTGCGACATCTCCAGACAACTGCGAGTCTCACATGGCTGTGTTAGCAAAATTCTTGGCAGGTTGGTCGGTCGGTTGATGGATTGATTGATTGAATGCTGATAACTGTTTGATGGATGTTCATTGATGATTTTGGCATACTAGTTGTTTGTGTTGAAGGATCATATTTCTATTGGTTGTCAAGTAATTATCGTTCAGTTTAGACAACCTTTTAATCTATCATCCATCTATCAGTCCTTTCAGGAAATCGATAAATATTTGCGTAATATTTATAATAGATAAAAATAATAATAATATAAATAGGAAACGGATTAATGAAGCAGCAGGAGATGGAAAATATTCTTTCAAACACAAAAGGCTTTCCATATTCTCTCCCTGCCCCCCCCCCTTAATATTTTTTCTCCAAACTATATTTCTGAGAGCATCAAATGAGTTCTCTTATCGTGTCGTATCGAAAGTTTTTTTCACCAATTTGTTTGCACTCAGCTTAACATCCCCTTTAATCGTCGTCGTCTTTTTTATGGATCGGCAAAAACATCATCGTCATCACCGTCATTGTTGTTTCGTTGTTTCGTTATAGTAGTAGCCATTTGTTATCAGCGCCATCATCATCTTCATCATCAAACGATTTCTCGATCACAATGATTATGAATGTCCATGATTAATGTCGAAATTAATGTCGCCACCATCAGCTCAATCTTTATATCATCACAGTTATCATTATAATATCCATCATCCTAATTAGCAACTTTACTATCGCTACTTTCGAAATCATCGTCATTATCAACATTATGTTCTTCATCTTCGTCATCATTATCATAATCATCGTCGTCGTCGTCATAATCATCATGATCATCAATATACATCGCGTGACCGAATTAAACATGTTGACACGCGAATGCTTGATATGAGCATTCATTTGTTCCTTCTCTCATTCATTTTTTCATTTTTTCATTCATTCATTTATTTAATCATTTATTCATTTAATCATTTGTCCATTCAATCATTAATTAATTAATTCATTCATTCATTCATCCATTAATTCATTGATTCATTAGTTCATTAATTCATTAATTCATTCATTAATTAATTAATTCATTCATTCATTCATTCATTCATTCATTCATCCATTCATCCATTCATCCATCCATCCATCCATTCATCCATCCATCCATTCATTCATTCATTCATTCATTCATTCATTCATTCATTCATTCATTCATTCATTCATTCATTCATTCATTCAATTAATCATTTCTTTATTTCGTTTATTCGTTCATCCGTTGGTTCATTAATTCACCCGTTTATTCAATCCATCTCCCGTCATAACTTAATCGTTACTGTGGAGGTAACGTTCGATCCTGTTTGTCATTGAAGAGAATCATTCAAACAATCCAACGAACGACCTGCTCTGCCTGCTCCAGCTCCACGCCATTCACAGCTCACCATTCACTTCCCAATGTTTCGCAACACACACAACATGAAGCATATCACCATATCACCATTTAATCCATTGTTGAAATTAATTAATTATTCAATTTTTAAATAGTATGTGCGTGTGCGTGTATGTGCAGGTGTGTGTGTATATATGTTTAGAGAAAAAAATAGAGAAAGAGAGAGAGAGAAAGAGAGAAAGAGAGAGAGAGAGTGAGAAAAAGAAGAAGAGAGAGAGAGAAAGAGAGAGAGAGTGAGAAAAAGAAGAAGAGAGAGAGAGAGAGAGCACGGCATCAAAAGTACAAGTGTGCGTTGCAGGTAGACATTAGTGGCACATAAACACGTGGAATGTTGAATATGGGATGCAAATTTTTTGACATCAACTGGACATGTGGCGTAATGAGATGCGACCTCAAGAACCATAGTTCATAGGTCAAAGTTCAAACTGGACCATCCGCATACGACCTATATATTCCATCAGTGACCAGTATATTCAACTTTATTGACCTACATACTTCATACGCATGCGCGATTCTTACTTACACGTGCGTGCTTGTTTTAAATATTGTTTGATGTACAAAATTTAAATTTGTAATCTGACTCGTAATATAAATTTTGTTAGAAGTTTTCAGAATGTTCTCAGCGATCTGCGACTTTTGATTTTCTGCTGTTTTCCAAACATATCCGACAGGCAATGAACAACAGTTGGAATTAAGGTGTTCTATACAATTAAACGAAAAATAAACAGCATCCGATATATGTACATTACAGTAATTCTTTTGTGTTACTCAGTTCTTAAAGATAACTCTTGAATTAGTTTGTTTTTAATGTCTGCGTAAGCTTTCCGATAGAAAGAGGAATATATAAAAAGTGTGTAAATAGATGAATAAAAGAATTTTAATTTCTGCGAATATGGAGAATCAGAGACACAAATGTACGAGTATAGAGATGTCCTCGATTTAAATATATTATTACTGAAAGTGCATGGAAATTTCAAAAGAACTTCTTGCAATTTATTGTTAGTTTGCATAAAACTTTAGAACTTTTTATTTTATGCTTCAACATAAACTTCTTCTTTCAATGGTTTTACAAATAATTATTTCATGTCCAGTGGCAGATCTAAACGACTCTGACGGGTAGGGGGCAATTTTGTCAATATGTCTAAAGTTTGAAATTTTATGGTTTTTTAACGGTGTAGAAACTGGGATTTAATAAATTGATAAAAATACTGCTCACAGCGGAAGACCCATGGCATCTTCCGGCCCCTTAGATCAGTCACTGTCCGTATCTGAATTGATTAGTTTGTTTTGCTATACTGGCAAGTACCAACCATTCAAGAAGCTAAGTCACATTTCGCGGGTCCCGGTTCTTTCAGGCAGCTCCGCGAGTGTGCAACGGTCTGTCGGCCGAGCTCAGAAGTTGCACGTCACTGTCGGCTTTTAAGAAAACGCTGAAAGCACATCGATTCGCGGATGAACGTTCCGGCTGCTTCTGAAGCAATTACGCAACCGGCGCTCTACTAAGTGCCATTATTATTTTTATCATAATTATTATTATTAATATTATTATTTTAATCATCATCAGTTTACAATGTGAAAAAAGCATGCAAAGATTTCTACAAAATGTGTTTTTGTAGAAACCTTTCAGAGCAAACTATTTGTAGTGAGTTGTTTAATGTTTGCAATTTTGTTTGTAAAATCTTTCTATAGAGTTTTTTTCATTAGCATATCTGCACACATGATCGAAATTGTTTTTGTACTGTTTCAAGTACTTGTGTTTTTTACTCGTACATATCTCTAAAGTCATGCACTGATTTATGTATGTAAAGTCATAGTTATACAAATACACAATCACGTTCACACACACATAGATCTACATGTACTAGTTTATGTGTGTGTGGTGTGTGTATGTGCGTGTGCGTGCGTGCGTGCATTAAACTCTATACAACATATACAACCTAATACGCAGTTGAATATGCTAGTAAAAGTTGTTGGCATTCGCGCTAAATGGATGTTGTACACTTCAAACGCCAACCAATCCGATAAGACTTCTGCTCTGAATCTCAATGAAGGATCCGAAATACTTTCAACCAAATTAGCATCAACATCACCAGACTTATTTATATCGTCATTGTTGTATCTACTGATATCATCATCATCATCATTATAAGCATCATTAACTTGTTTATGACTTTTTTATGACTTTATCATTATCATTAACTTATCAAATTATCATTGACCATTAACTTAACAAATCATTAACATTAATAATATATTATCATTAACTTCTTAGTATAGTTGCTATTTATAAATTCTTCCATGGCATACCTAATATTGACGATAAGATATTTTGTCAATATATGTCCAGTTTCTGACTTAACTATTGTAAACGCAAACAACATCTTCAGCATCATCATCAGACAGCATCATCAACTACATAAGCATCGCATTCAGTGCTAGAAGATTTTTTTAATGTCGATAATTTATTACAGTTAATATCCGACTTATTGGAAAATCATGACAATACTCGATTTGTGTGTGCGTGTGTGTGTGTGTGCAGGTGTGTGTTTGCGTATTCGTGCGTGTGTATGTGTCTAATTAATTGACGCATTGCATAAAGTAAGTTTCTATTTATTCGACTGCAGTGTATTTTGCGTCATTGGGCCGTTTCATGAAATTATTTTCCCCACTAGCGGTGTATGCTATAAGTTATTTTTATTATTATTGTTACTGTTATTATTATTCTTTCTATAATTAAGTTTCAAATATATCAAGTCTCGTGTGTATTTGTGTATCAGCAACTCACACACACACATACACCGCATGTATTATAATTATGCGGCTATATAACATGTGATAGAACGAGATCTGTTTGTAATCGAACCCAGCCAGCGCAACAAAAGATAGACCAGGTGCCTTTACCACCCCGTTACAGATCACACAATCTCTCCCACACTCACACACACACATACACACATACACACACACACGCACACTCTTATATATGTGGTGTACGTGTGTGTAAATGGGAGAAGTATGTGCGTGATTATTTGTGGGAAAATTTTTAACAGCGGTGCATGTCCACGACGATCAAAAAAACAAACAGATGTGCACAAGTATATATACATATATATGTATATATACATATATATATATATATATATATATATATATATATATATTCTTATAAATGTATAAATATGTATATATATATATATATATATATATATACATATATCGACGTGTTTTAATACGCAAATAAACATATACAATACATTACATATACAATTACATATAAATATACATTCAATTAATTCTTTTGGAGGATTTTACAACGCTTTGCAAATGAGTCTTTCAGCCATCCGCAATGTTGAGTTTTCCGATAATGGTTGGTTACAGACTGAACTTCCCGTGAAATTTGGCGGTCTGAGTTTAACAAGTGTTATCTAGCTAGCACCTATTGCATTCAAGTCTTCTGGTGCTGTTACACTTTATTTACAGTTGGCCGTACTTGAACAATTTTACGCTAAAAGTGGCCTTGCTAAACCTGATTCCGTTCGGATAGTATTCTCTCAAAATATAATAATTGAAGAATTACATAAAAACTTGTTTTAGACACTTCTGACTTCTTGTTTCAATTCTCCAAATATGGTCCAATTTAGCTGTCTCCAGTCCTGCAAACTGTGGTTGGCTCAAGTCTTGGCCTAACACTTCAGCGAACACCAGACTCGATGACGACTCGATAAGGATGGCTATAGCATTCAGACTCGACTTAACGGTTCAAAAGTTTTTCCAATGCAATTGGGGTGCAATCGCCGACGAGTTTAGTCACCATGGCCTGGTTTTCAGATTAGTTGGTAGTCGGTAAGTTTGCCACTCTACTTTCAATTAAAACATTTGCGAAATTTTCTCAAAAGCATTAATTTACGTGTTGAAAAAACCATTAAGAATTTCAGCCAAGGGTAGTAAGAGTCCGAATAGCTGCACTCTAATCCTATTAAAGGCTGTCAAATGTTTAGCTTGCGACGTCACTCTCCCTGGCACCCTTGCAGGACGATACATCAATCTAACCAGTCTAGAAAGTCGTTCTGCCGCAACAAGGGCTTCTGATATAAACTTGTAAAATACGATAACGCCCTGCCTTCAACAGAATTTTTTCCGATTTGTGTTGATGTCCTTGGTCCTATGGACAAAGCTACAGCCAAATTTTTAAAAGATATTTGCAACATTATAAGTACATAATCCGTAGACAAAAGGTACTTTTTCTACGGAATGAGCCACATGCCTTGTACGTTGCAGCCATTCCTTCGTGATTCAGTGGCTGAAAATGTTCAAATAAATGCTAACAGTTGCAATTGATCTACATACACACATTCATACACACATACATGCATTCATACATACATACATACATACATACATACATACATACATACATACATACATACATACATACATACATACATATAAGTTTAAAAAATATGAAGGTGCCCTGCCCTCGATGGATTTTTTACCTGTTTGCATCGAGGTTCTTGGCCCGATGGACAACAACACTACAATATTTTTTACAAAGATTTGCAAAATGATAAGTGGCAGGTCCGGCGACAGCAGAGAGCTATTTTTCGCCATGAATCATATATATTGTTTGCTGCAAAGGTTTTTGCGCGTCTGTGTTTCCGAAAATGTTCAATTAAACGCCGACGTGAGCGAATAACGAGATATCAATTGTTAACCGATTTTATTCAGATGTTTGACTGTTTAGTGTCACTCATCGCTGATTTGGTTTTAACATACATACATACATACATACATACATACATACATACATACATACATACATACATACATACATACATACATACATACATACATACATACATACATACATACATACATACATACATACATACATACATACATACATACATACATACATGCATACATACATACATACATACATATATACATACATGCATTGCCTAACCATGGCTTGTTCATCAAAACGGGTTCATACATACATGCATACATACATACATACACACACATACACACACACACACACACATACATGCATACATACGTACAAACATACATACATGCATACATACATACATACATACATACATACATACATACATACATACATACATGCATACATACATACATACATACATATATACATACATGCATTGCCTAACCATGGCTTGTTCATCAAAACGGGTTCATACATACATGCATACATACATACATACACACACATACACACACACACACACACACACATGCATACATACGTACAAACATACATACATACATACATACATACATACATACATACATACATACATACATACATACATACATACATACATACATATACAATACACATACAAGCGTACATACATGGCGAGCACTTACATGGAAGAAACAAGCATTCTAGAAGATGTGCAATAAAGTTGAGCATATATGAGACAAAATCTTCAGAGCGCGTCCGTCACGGCTGACCGGTCAAACGTCCAATGCATTATACAATCCATATTAAAAGTGAATTCGAATTATGACGCCGCTCTTGTTTTTATTTATTTTTTTTCTGTTTCCTGCCTTCCTAACAACTATCATCGTCGTCATCCCGTTATCATCAGACCATTATCTTTCATTATCATCTTAAGTCTTCGTCGTCGTCATTATCATTGTATTCCATTGCTAGTGTGGTCCATAATGTATTTTGTCATCCACTCTGTCACTATTTTCATCATTTTCTTCATCATTACAACCATCAGCTCCAATCTTTCCAGGAGAAGTTTCAACTGCATTTCAATTGTTGTATTTAAAATTTTATATCACGTTCAGCCATCACAATCTATCAATAAAGCAATAGTTTATAAAATAAAATGAAATTTGAATTAAATAAAATTAAATAAAATTAAATAAAAAATTAAATAAAACTAATTGAAATCTACTAAGCTCGTTCTCCAAAATGAGAATACATACAATGAGAATAATCTTAATCGTGTCAAGTTACAATAAAATGCAACCAAACATTTATATAATAATCTAATACTCACTTCCTCCAATGAAACAAATAATTATAAGAAACTTTAAAAAAAACACAACTATTTGTATATAAAAATTGTCAAAATATATTGAATGAAATTTAGAATGAAAACAAAAAATATCAATTTTTTTAAATTCTATGATCCACATACGAAACATTTCTGGCAAATAATAATATTAATAATAATAATTGGCATATATTGTTAATTAAAATTTATCAACTTAAGTACAATTCAGTCATTAGAATATATATTATTACAATTTTATGTTAATTAAAATGACCTCTCCAATAAAATATGCCCTGCCCTCCACGCCAGATATTACGAGACAGGTTCGATCAAACCAGGGGTCATCGGGGGTTCAAAACCGAAGGTGGCCACACCGAAGGTTGTTGATGCCATCTGCAAATACAAAAGAGAAAACGCTACCATGTTTGCGTGGGAGATTAGAGATAGGTAGGTTTGTCGGTTGGTTGGTCGGTCAGTCGGCTAGTCGGCTAGTCGGTTGGTCGGTTGGTCAGCTGAATGGTTGGCTGGTTGGTTGTTTGTTTGATTGATTAGTTGGTTGGTTGGTTGGTTAGTTGGTTGGTTGGTTGGTTAGTTGGTTGGTTGGTTGTTTGTTTGTTTGTTTGGTTGGTTGGTTGGTTGGTTGGTTGGTTGGTTGGTTGGTTGGTTGGTTGGTTGGTTGGTTGGTTGGTTGGTTGGTTGGTTGGTTGGTTGGTTGGTTGGTTGGTTGGTTGGTTGGTTGGTTGGTAGTTCTGTTGGTCGGTCGGTTGGTTGGAGGACTATATATTGGTTGGTTTCAGCATGGTGGCTAATTCATTGTAATTTCATAAAATTCAAAACCATTTTTATTTTTTTCATTTCCTAACGAGTAGTTTAACAACATCATTCATTGTTTGTTACCATGCAAAACATCAGGTTACTGGCTGAAGGAGTGTGCGATCAAGAGAACGTTCCCAGCGTCTCATCCATTAACAGGTTGGTCATCTTTCACTCACTCCCACTTCCAATGTAAATGTTGATCTTTACTTTAGTTCTATGTTGCTAGTTTTTTTCTATAGTTTTAAAATAATTTAAATATTTCAATGGAATCGTCTAAATATGCAAATAAATTGATTTGTTAAAAATTGGATCAACAAAGAGGTTAAGAATTAGCTAAATTAAAAGCATGTGCCTCAAAATCGAGATTGTAGAAAACATCATAAAATTTTAAAGTTGTTTTCTCATTCCAAACAAGTTTTTTTGTTGGCTTGTCGAAAATTTTAAGTTTCTTCCAACATAGAAACGTCACGCTAACCAGCTGCACGTACAATACCTTTTTGGTGTAATTTTTAAATAGAATATATCTATTAATAAAAAACGTCTTGTTTTCGTAAAAAGTAAATAACATTAAAATGGCTATTGGTTAATTAGAACATGCTGAATATTAAAATTAAATTTATTTTTGAATGAAAAGTTGCTGATTAATTGATAAATAAATAAATCAGATAAATGAATAGACAAACAAACAATTATTCAATTAATTGGTTATTTTTGGCAGTTTATTAGTCAGTAGAAGGAAGCGTGAGAATTGTTAACGTGCTATATAACAAACAAACAGACAGGCATCATTCAATACGTGGCTTGACATTTAGTTATTTTTTAAATGATGGCTTAAAAATGTAGCGTTATTCTCTGAAGTTTCATATCCGTTCAGTGATAGAAAATCAATAACATTAATGCCGCCATTGTCAACTCTCTTCAAATAATCAATCAATCATCATTGCATCGTTCATCTTCGCTATCCTGCTGGGTGTTTGTTTCTTCAACAATATTCTGCATTTTCCATTAAAGTTCGTTATCATTGTCATTATTATGTGTTATGAATTGTCATTATTATTTTTATTATCATTATTATTATTATTATTATTGTTGTTATTGTTATTGTTATTATCTCTTGAGAATTTTAATGATGACAGCACGAAGCAAAGTCAGATCTGAAATTTCAAATGTTCAAAGTTGTTTTGTCGAGGACTGTGGCATAAGAGACACTATCTTTATTCGACGAATGGTCAGTGAACGAGCGATTGAAAAAATAAAGAAAGACTTGTTTATATGTTTCGTCGATTACTCCAAAGCTTTTGATTGCGTGAAATATTGGAAAATTTGAACATTGATGGAAAAGACACGTGAGTTATTGAAGACCTCTAATGGGGCCAAAGAGCAGCGATGAAAGTTGGTGACAAGATGACTAGTTTTGTCGAAATAAAGAAAGGTGCTAGGCAAGTTTATGTATTTTCAGTTTGTAAATGTGATGTGGATATTAAAAGAAGGATAGCTATGGCAAAAGATGCATATTCTAAAATGCAAAACATCCTCACCAACATTAAAATCAGAATATCAACAAAATTAAAACTGTTAAGATTTTACATTTTTCCTGTGCTAACTTACAGCTTGAACAATTTTTAAAGAAATGGAAAAAATATTAACGCTGTTGAGATGTGGTTTTTTAGAAGAATTATGAAAATTATTTGGACTTCTCATACTTCGAATGAGGATGTATTAAAACAGTCTGGTTATGAAAAGAGAGAATTACTACAGATAATTTGACGGGGCCAGTTAAAGTTCTTTGGTCACATCATGCGGAAGGAAAGAATGGAAAACATAACAACTACTAGAAAGATTGCAGGAGAAAGAGATCGCGGTCAACAACAAACAACATTTGTGAAGTTTTTGTATCACTTGTTGATTATCATCACATTTCAACTACTACAAAGTGTTGAAGATCGGGTTTGAGGTGGTCGACGGTCGCCAATGTCCTGAAAGGATAAGGCACGAGGAAGAAGAAGAAATGTCATTAATATTATTTATTATGTATTGCCGTTACATTTGTATAGGCAAATTAAAAATGAACTTTAATATTTTTCAATAACTTTGTTATAGTTTATCATCATTCTTTCACTTTATTACCATTGTCTATTACTATAAAATATTTTATTACGACATCCATAGCACCACTATACCACCCGTACCACATTGCAACATCACCACACTTTGCCACACCACTAAATCACATTACCACCAGCACGTGATCAACACGTCCCAACATAACCACATCACTCCACTACCACATCATCACACCACCACATCACACCACTACCACACCATCACATCACCCCACTACCACATCATCACATCACCCCACTACCACATCATCACATCACCCCACTACCGCATCGCCACACCGCTACACCACCACAAAAAAATCAGCCGCTAAAGAAAATTTAAAATCTGAACATTGTCACGTGTCGTTGTGGTCAATGTTTTCATTGCTTCTTATTAAAAACTCGTTGAACATCACGCTCGGATGAACGCTGGTGAACCATCGAAGCGTCGAAGCATTGGAGCGTGAACATGAGACATGTTGCCTTGTAATTGTCTTTGACTTTTCTTTGAACACGCTCAACCTGTCTCGTTATATCGTCTGCCACCTCTGACTGCCAGTGTGGTGGTGGTGGTTTTGTTGGTAGTGATGGTAGTTTTGTGTGTTTGTAAGTGTATGTGTGTGTGTGTGTGTGTGCTGGTGGTTGTGGTTTTGTATGTGTGTGTCTGTTTCGGGAGACTTGTACATGGTTTTGTGTTATTGGGATTTTTTGTGTGCAATTTTGTTTGCGTTGGTTTTATGTTGTGTCTGGGTAAAACTTGGTTCTGTAAATTTTTACAAAATTCTTTCTGTCTGAATTTTGTGGAGGACTTGGGATACTTACTATCTCTATACTGAATTGGTAGTGTTATAAACGTGGCATTTTACTATTTTTTAATGTGTTTGATCGGCGTTTTGTAGCTTTTGAAATGTGTTGCAGGTGCTGTTTACAGGATGTTCCTTCTCAAGTCATCCTGCTTTTATTTTATATAATAGATAATAATTTTTATTTAATAGATAATATTTTTATAATAATTTTTAATAATATAATATAATTTTTAGATAATATGGTAATCAATTAAATGCCTGAATATTTATTTTTTGCATAGATTGTAATGTGATGTTCATATTCTGGTTATTTGTCTGGATATTGATAGTTTTGATTAAAACGCACAATATTTTTTGCACATAACGCGCGCTTAAAGAAATATTAAATTATATAAAATTGCCCTCAACTTTGTAACTTTGACGGTTGGATGGTTATTAAAATTTAGAATAGCAGTTTTTGTGTAACGGGCTGCCAGAAAATTTGATTTCTGAATAACTTATTTTTAGTTAACTTAAAAAGAAGTCATTTGAGCGTGAAGAGTTTAAACTATAATAAATAGCTATCTATAAAAACATTTCTCTACACAAACGTAGCCCAATAGTTCGACACCAGCAAATGTAACGTAACAACGAGCACACTCGACACAAACATGAAAAGAAGCGAAGAACAATCAAGCGTGATGGAAAGTTTAACGCACGTGCTTGTAATGAGAAACAATGCAAAAATATTTTCGCCAGCAATCAAAACGCTTTGACACGCACACAAGCACGCACGCGCACACACACGCACGCACACACGCACACGCACAACAGACTGGAGAAGAGAAAGAAGAAAAAGAAGCAAATTATTAAGAGAACAGTGAAAAAGAGAAAAAAATATAAACATTTTAGTGAAAAATAAATAGAAAAAGTGAAAGAAAGAAAGATATAAAGAGAGAGAGAGAGAGAGTAAAAGAGAGAGAACGAGAGAGCGAGAAAGAGAAAGAATAGTTTTAGTCTTCACTCTTCACGCTCAAATGACTTCTTTTTAAGTTAACTAAAAATAAATCTTCAGACGGTGCACAGAAGAGCGGACGTCGCGCGTTTTATGAGCACCAACAACATGCATTTCGACGGATTTCCACAACTATAATAAAGAGTAGGCGCAAGTTTAATGCATTCAGCAAAATAAATATGAATACTATTTTTATGTTGTGAATTGCAAAACTTTTAAAAACGTGTAAACACTATAGAAAAAGCTATTGAAAGGTTTAAAAAAAAGTTAAAATTGACCCTCTATCAATCAAAAAATGATTCTACTTACATGTGCAGTTGTTAAGAATGCAATCGTTACTCTACATCTCCAGGGATTTTCGACATATTGCACGCAATCACTTCCATGTACCTACATCTGTCTAATTTTAATTCTATTGGACACGAGCCATTGTTTAAGTTGCTGCTGTGTTGATGTTGTTGTTGTTAGTGTGTGTTGTGCCGATTTTTGTCGTTTGTGGTTGTTTTGTTGATGTTGTTGTTTAGTGTTACTTCGACGATATTATTAACGATTGGTTTTGTTTTTGTTGTTGCTGTGTTGATGTTATTGCGATATTGTTCTGTTTTGAATGTATTTGTTATTATAGCTTTTATTAAACTGATGCTGTCTTCTTGACATTATGTTATCCGCTTGTTTTTTTTTATTTCAAATAAGATATTTGTTGCAGGAAAAACCTGCATCTAATTTATAGTGATGATTTTCCAAATGATGACAATAATCATCTATACAAACACTGTTATTGTTGTTTTTTGAATACATACTTTTTGAACAACCTCCTCAGTCATTATCATTCATTACCATTCATTAAGCATCATTTTGGACAGACAATTTAAACAAATAAAATAAAGGCGAACTGGCATTGGTTCATAATTTTTTGTTAATTATTGTTTCTTCATTCACAAACATTGAAATTTGATTCGTTAATAATTTTTTCCAATGAAAAGTAATGCAAAACTCATTTCCACCACGGTGCATTCAGGATAGTACGCAACAAAGCAGCAGAAAAAACCAAACACACTCCGACAAATTTATCCTCATCCTCTACATCTTCCGTCAACAATAACAACAACAACAATGTTGCCAACAGTAAAAACAACAACAACAACTTAAACACCCACAACAACCACAACAACAGCAGCAGCAACAACAACACCGCAAACATACTCACTCAAGCTCCAGCCGCACACGACGGGCCTTCATCCCCTCATTCTCTGAACGCACCATCCACCCCGGCTGGTTACACAATTGGCAGCATATTGGGCATACCGCCCCCACTGCAATCTCACAATCATCAACAACAACATCAACAACAACATCATCAACAACAACAGCAACAACATCAGCACTCTAGTACTAACAACAACAGTAACACAAATCAAAACAGTCCGACCTGCAACAACAACAACAACGTTTCAACAACAACGACAACTGCTTGCAAAAGGGCCAGCAGAACAAACAACTCAGGTTGTTTTCTCTGTTCATCATTTTGTTGTTTGTCGTTGGTGGTAGTGTCAACGCTTGTTTGATTTTTTGTTTGAAAAAATAGTCATAAAACATGATGAATTCCAATGTCAATAAGCTAGGGGGATGGCGAACGCTGACGAATGTCACAAAACATTAAAAAAAATAGAATAGATTTTTATTGAAAAATTTTTATAACCAGTTCAAGTATTAATGATCAGAGTAGTTGAATGGAGAGATTCAGCTTTGAACAGCACAACTAGCACACTACACTCATTGAACATTGAAGCTTTTATGTATGATGATGATGACTAATAAAAAACATCCACGCCGACAGAAAATTTTTATCATGACGTCACAGGAATAGCGTGCCACGTCGGCATTTATTTTGAAGCCTGCGTACGTGCGCGCCGTGCGCGCGCCTTCCTCGACCACACACGACGCTCTCGCTCATTCACTTTCAGGATCTATAAAAATTTTGCACGAATAAATAATTGGATATTTGTGTTTAGGAATGTATGTAGGTAAGTGATTTATAAGTCAATGGAATGCGTATGTCATACATCATTAGACCTGTGCGACGTGGAAGCATGCAAAGTCTTCTTGGTGTAATAGTTTAATACTGTATTTGCCTTACAGAATTGTTGTAAACAGTAATTGCTTTTATTTAGGTTACATGAAAATTTTATAAACTTTAAAATAAAAAATTTCTCAATATGGTTATTTTGCTACTGTATCTTACTTCGAGTTTGCATCGTTCATAACGTTTAAAAAATTTCACCCTTGGCGACTGTTCGACTCTTTTTGTTCGCTCAGCACAAACATTTCTGATCATTTTCTAAATTATTTTATTGAGTCCAAAGTGTCCAACCATCTCAACTTTTTACACAGACAAATCCCATGCTCCAACGACTCTGTTCGACATGCCTGATGCATTGCCTGGCATTCAACTTCTATTTTTTATTATTTGTGCTTTGTAAAGAATTTATTTGCTATATTGCTTGCTAAAATTGTAAAAAATGTTAAAGTGGCAATAATAGAATTTAGAACAAAGTAGAGTAAAGACACAGTATTTATATATATTTATTTATATATTTAAACATCTAAGCACAAACACAACATATCAGTTTGAACTCCGAAGATGGTATAGGAATAACGAAAAAAGCTTTTCTGTTCTATCATGCATAAAATAAACAAAAATTTTGGTTTTGAACTGAAGAAACTTGAAAATGATTCACGATCAACCGTAAGAAAAATCGAAAAGTTAAATTGGAAGTTAACTAACGCCGAACATGCTGTGATTTATATATATAAATATATATACTTTTATTTATTTATTTATTTTTATTTTCATTATAGAGAACCAAATAAGTTTAAAATAAACTTGTGGAGAGGCCACCCTTAACTAAGTCATTAATAAAAATAAGGTTCAAAGGTTAGAAAATTAAGAGACTCAATTTCAGCGTTCAATGCATTCAAATACTATATCGAAATTTTATAAAAATGTTAACTCGAATGAAATACATTCAGATAATACTTCTGAACCAGTCAAATAATCAAAATAATAACGGACAGACAAAAACACACACGCACCACACTTACGCACGCACAACACACACCCACACATCCATTCGTATTTAAATAACAGCTATATATTAATGTATATAAATCGTTAGATGGTGGTGTCGAGGTGAAGTAAGTAAAGCTGAGATCGCAACCTTTTTTTGAAGAGTTGCTTGTTTGTTATGTTATGAATGGCATGGGGCAAAAATAATTTCCAAATTTTAGGGCCAGTTTTTTTTAAACTTGTAGAGATGAGTTTAAGGCGAGTTTTTACTGGGTAAAAGATAGTAGTGTGTCTAGTTTTGAGAGTTTGAACAGATTCACTGAGTGTAAAAAGGTTAGAAAAAAATGAGGGAAGTAAATTATTTAAGAATTTGAAAACAAAAATAGCTGTAAAATAAATGTATAAACAATTAATCGACAAAATATTATGTTTACTAAAAAAAGAGCTAGTGGGAGAGTTAGGGTTCAAGTTGAAGATTAAGCGTATAGCTTTTTTTTGTGAAAATATCATACAATGAAGATGGGTTTTTGGTGAGTTAACCCAAATGGTTATGCAGTAAGTGAGATGAGGATAAATGAAAGCATAGTAGAGTTTTTTTAAGGCCGATTTGGTTAATTTGTGCTTGATTTTGTAGAAAAGACCTATGAGTTTGTTAACTTTAGAGGAGATAGATTGTAGATGAGATTTTCAAGAAAGATTTTCAGAAATGGTTATATATATATATATATATATATATATATATATATATATATATATATATATATATATATATAGTATATGTATGTATATTTATATCGTTTTACGAAGACCTTACAAGCTAGTTATAAATTCTGTTCCCTCAGTTCTTTTCCTTAAATAAATAAAATAATACATACATACATACATACATATAGACATACAAACATACATACATACATACATACATACATACATACATACATACATACATACATACATACATACATACATACATACATACATACATACATACATACATGCATACATACATACATACATTCACAACACACTCACACCACACACACATGTAAATAAGTGGAACGAAGATAATGTTGAGTTACGCAATCTAATGCAACTTTCACCATATGATTGTTGCATTGCAGCAGGCCAGGCATTGCTCCAGTTAGCCTTTGTTTGCACTCCACTCCTCCAAACATTGCACTCTCTTCTCACTCTTACGACGATGCAAAATTTTTAAACAAACAAACTTAGAAAAGTACTCGTGTAATACGGAAGACATTAATCTCATTTCTGTTGCACATCAATCATCTTCTATGTATTTCTATTTTTCATTTCATTTTGTTTTAAGTTTCATTACTTTGCTTTTGTTTCCTTTCACCATCTTTTCATTTAAAATTTTTTCACAATTGCAGCGTTTTTCATTTTTTCATTCCTCTTTCTTGCACTCTCTCTCCAGCACCTAGACAGCACAATATTCTTCGGCCAACTTTCCAATGAATGCAGTAAAGTGCGCGTGTGTTTCCGTGCGTGTCTGTTCTTTTGTGTGCCTGTCTATTTGTCTGTGTGCGTGTCTGTTTGTCTATGTGCGTGTCTGTTTGTCTGCGTGAGTGTCTGTGTGAGTGCGTGCGTCAGTGTGTTTGTGTACGTGTGTCTGTTCGATCTATTGTTTATTTGTAAACCATTTAAACGTTTAGAACATTTGAAAGAATCGATAGATTATGCACGGACCATCAATGAAATTTTTTTCCTCCCAACAATTAAAGTCAAGGCATACAACGATCGTCATTATATTTTAAACACGTGAGCACTGTACAATGAACAAACAGATAAATAAATAAATTTAAGCCTGTGTTGTGTGTGTGTGTATGTGTGTGTGTAATTATGTGTGTGTAATATGTATGTCTGTATGTGTGTGTGTGTGTGTATGTGTGTGTGTGTATGTATTCGTGTATGTGTGTATGTAGGTCTGTATTTCCGTATGTGTATATCTTTATCTAAACACATATGCGATGTGAGAGTGTGTTGTATGTATGTGTGCGATATGCGTGCGTGTACTTCCACAACACAAATCGTCATCCTCGTCATCATAACAATGATAAAACGAAAGTTATGACAGCAACAACAACAATGACGACGACAACAACAACAACTAAAACAACAACAACAACAACTGCAATATCAACATCACGTAACATCAAAAGAAAACATATTAATACTGACACGAATGTTAGAAACAATGGCGAGTCTGATGTAACATGAAACAAACAAAAGCAACAACAATAGCAACAACAACAACAACAATACAAACACACGTAATATTGCACAATATAAACTTAGCAATAGATAAAGATCATACAATTAAATAAACATTCAACAAGCAATGAACAACAGAGCACACTCGCTATTATTTAATCAGCATTTTAAAAATTCTTATGAATCAATACAGCCTAATTTTTATTCGCACTGATAAGTAATAAATAAACCAATTATAAATAATAATAATAGTAGTAGTAGTAGTAGTAGCAGCAGTAGTAGTAGTAGTAGTAGTAGTAGTAGTAGTAGTAGTAGTAGTAGTAGTAGTAGTAGTAGTAGTAATAATAGTAGTGGTAGTGGTAGTAGTAGTAGTATTAGTTATAGTAGTGGTAATAATAGTAGTATTAGTAGTAGTATTAGTGGTGGTAGTAGTGGTGGTAGTAGTAATAGTAGTAGTAGTAATAATAATAATAATAATAATAATAATAATAACAATAATGATAATGATAACGATAATAATAATAATAATAATGATAATGATAGTGATAACGATAATGATAATGATAATGATAATGATAATAATAGGAATGATAATAATGATAATAATAATGATAATGATAATATGTAAAACTCTCAGTGTAATCATCTTTTAATATTTAGGTAATTAGACGGAGAACATGCAAAAGTGAAGTTTATAAAGAAATTATCACCTAATATAGTTGTTATTGTTTTGTTGTTATTGTTGGTTATTAATGCTTTTATTGTTGTTGTTCGTGATAGCTATAAAGCTGTTGTTGTTGTTGTTTTATGTTATTGTTTTCGTTGTTGTTTATGCTGATGTTATTGCCTGTGTCGTTGCTGCGGTTCACACACTCACACACCTCACACGTGTAAATACACACAGATATACACACACCAGCACACATACATACACACGTACATACACTTGCTCAAAACACATTTACACACTCACGTAAATATATACACACATACACACGTTTATACACATACACACTCACACACACACTCACACACACAGACATACACACACACACACACACATAAGGACGCTTATGTTGATGTACTTCCGCTTTATCCAACTTCCGCAGCCAAAACATGGCGCCACAAATAATATATCATTATCATAACTGACTGTTTATAATAATGATGAAGTTTGTGATTTTCAAGCACTACCTCAGTGTTGTATTCATGGTAATTGTTTTAGATTGAGGGTGAAATGATGATTGATACCACTGGTGAAATGATGATTGATACCACTGGTGAAAAAATGATTGATACCACTGATGATACGAAGTCCTGCCTGCTGAAGTCTGCTGAAGATCATCCATCGTCTACCATTTACACTTTCAATATTATTATCTTTAACTTGCTTTTTAAACACCTTTAATGTTTTTTTTTTATAAAGCGGCAAAATTATATCTAATTTTTGAACCATTGTATTACCAATATCATTGTGGCCAGTAGGCCACAATGATATTGGTGACACAATGATCATCATCATCATCATCATCATCATCATCATCATCATCATCATCATTACCACCACCACCCCTCCACTGCCATCAGCATCATTATCATCGTCGTCATCGTCATCATTCCGTCACCATTTTCTCAATTTTCTCTGATTCTATATGACTTAATCCAATCTCCTCAGTGTAGAAAGATGTGGGATTTGTGATCTGCTGCGGATGTTTGTGTGAATGTGTGTGCTTGTGTGTGTCTGTGCGTGTTTGTGTGTGGGTGTGTTTGTTTGCTTCAGCGTTTCTGTATGTGCGTGTATCTGTATGTGCGTGTGTATATAGGTTTACATCACTAGGTGGGTTTGTGCTTTTAGTGTATATTTATGGCTATGTGTTTGTTTGTGTTCCTATGTATGTATGTGCGCGTATTTGTGTGTACGTGTGCATGTTTGTTAATTGTGCAGTTGCTTTACTTATTGCTCAAATAATTTTTCATAAACCTTCATGTATAAAAAGTTGTCGATTGTGTTTAAGAAATGAATGATAATTTTATCAATAATGATGTAAATTTTTGAATTTTTATTTCAAAATTACTGCAAAATTATGTTTATTGATAAGTTGATTTATATTTGAAGTGATGAAAAGTTTAATATCACCATTATACTTCAAACATTAAAACATCATCAACGCCATAATCATTCTACTAATCCACGTCATTAACTCACTACATTTTTCATAATCTTCCCCAACATCCACTTCTTTCTCCTCTCTTTCCTTCTCGTCATCTCTCTCATCATCACCATCTCGCTGTACGTTCTACGCTGTACATCGTACGTACAAGCCACTGTACAACACAAGCTGATGGAACCAGTGAAGCTTGACCGTGGAAGCTCTTCTTGTACACGTGTGCGTCTCGCGAGGCTTCCTACAAAATCTCCTGCTTGTCTGCTTGCTTGTCTGCTTGCCTGTCTGCTTGCTTCTGTCTGTGTTTCTGTCTGTCTATCTATTTAACTAATAATTTGTCTGTCTGTGAGTCTGTGAAGTTTTTTATTTATTGTCTGCTTGTTATATTTATAAGATTGTTTATTTGTCTATCTATTTGCATTCTGGTCCATTTTTTGCTTGTCTGCAACATTTTTAATTTATTTTCTTATTTCTTTAACAATTATTATGTAATTATTTATTAATACAATGCGATATTTAGAATTATTTGTATTTTTAATGAATTATAAGTTTTTAATAATTTTTTTATTCACATTAACAGGTTTGGAACACCGAGAGCACAACCACAGTAACAACAACCACAACAGCCACAACAGCCACAACAGCCACAACAACAGACGACACTGCACGACAGACGAGAACCAATCTTGGTTGCTTTACAAAAACAGTCCAAAACCTCCAAAGCCAGACCCCGACTCTCCAAATGACAGCCACGGAAACAATGGGAGCGGTACTCGCTTCCTACCTTTGAATCCTCCCCCATATTCAGTCATGCCTCCTAGTCACCAGTACAGATCTGCCACGCATTATGGATCTGTGATCCCACCGCCTGTGGCTCCCTTGACGTCTGCAGCTCCGGTCGAGTACAACACGTCTTCATTTCCGAGTCAACAACTTCAATCGATCCCAATGTCCTGTTCCATCGTGACAGACAACCAACACCCCACTCAGCCTTATGGAATGATTACTGCTGGTAACAAATTTAAATTACATTTGACATAAGATTTACTTTGTTTCATTATGGCTCAAAATACGCATTTTTCAGAGTTGCTTTGTTATCATTTCGCATTAAAATATTCACCATAAAACTTTTGGTAACGTCTACTCCACACAAGGCACACAAGCAGCGCATTACACGGATAGTATTCGAACCAGGTCTACGTGCAACAATATCGACGCCAGGCATGGTACTTCTGCAGTCTAAGATAACCCGACAACTAAATAATTTAGGCACAAATTAACTTATCTATAATTTTGTAAAAATTAGTTGATTATGAAAAAGTTATATAATAGATTTTTTTTTCAATTATAACAAAATTAAATAATGTAACAAATCAAATAAAATGAATGAAACCGCAGCCAACTGTGGCTACCCTCACCAATACGGGTCGGGTGTCAGTTATCCACACGCTCAATATCCTTACGAGGCCTCATGGCCGTCTGTTCGTTATGCAAGTACGTCTTTTCAATTGATCGATTGGTTGGTTGGTTTGTTGGTTGGTTGATTGGCTGGATGGTTGGTTGGTTGGCTGGTTGGTTGGTTGATTGGTTGTATGGTTGGTTGGTTGGTTGGTTGGTTGGTTGGTTGGTTGGTTGGTTGGTTGGTTGGTTGGTTGGTTAGATGATTATTTTTATTAATACACTTGCAATAGAATTGATGTACTAGTAAAGAAATATAATGTAATAACAATGAAGTTATCATGTTAACTAAGATCTTAGTTATAAACTAATCTTTCGGTTTTTGTAAAATAGGTTTGCTAAATGTTTTTAAAAAAATTTAGTTCTCTTCAATTTTGATGTTCTTGCATTATAAGATCCAACAAATAATTTCAAATTCAATTAAATAAATTCCAAATAATCAATTTTGAATCAATTAATTAATTTGTTTCAAAACAAACGATAAAAAATGTAGTCTCACATTTCACTTTAAAACTTGAAGAACTAAAACGAACAAACCAACACAGCTCCGTACAGTTACTACATGGGGAGCAACGGATCTCTGAGCGGTCCCACGGAACTCATGCCCAACCACAACTCTATCGATATGATCAATCAGAAGAAAAACTTCTTCTAACCTCTCTCTAAATTTTTATTCATTTTTATTTATTTTATTCTTTAAATTATCAGTTTTTAACAATTTTTTTATATGTTAATTTGAACAAAATATATTTTAATAATTTATAAACATTATAAAAGCAATTTGTTCTGGTCATCTTAATTTTCTTTTTTTTTTTGAAAATTCAATTTTGCATTTCCTGTCATCACACATTTTAGATCCTCATCTCACACACTTATCATATATTTCTGGATAAACAAGATCTTTCTATTTTTTTATTTATTTGAACTAAAAATGTTTTTAAAATACATCACTGACGTTTAGGTATAAATAAATATTTAATTAAGTTAAAATTTATATAATGTATGTACACCGTTGATTTATTTTTTTAAATTATTTATTTATTCCGTTATTCTAGAAATATCAGTTTTTTGTTTATCATTAATTAACGTTTTTGTCGAATAGATCAAGTTGATTATTGTATCATGTTGTGTATAATATAACCCAGGGGTGGGCAAACTATGGACCGCGAAGCTATTTTATGCGGCCCGCGACGTCTTGTTCGCCTCAAAAGGAGCCACAAACCTTAAAAAAAATCTCCCTCAGGTCGAAAAAATTTGCTGTTCAAGTGCATATACGGCCCTTCAAAGGTAAAATAATTCTCACAGCAAAAATTTGCCCATCCCTGTTATAACCAATTCATTTTCTTTTTTTTACCTTGTTCGGAGGATTTGTTGAGATTGTCGTTGCGAATGACTGTTGGACAACTTGTGTTGTACATCTTCAACGATCACGATGCTTGGGCTACCGACGGCACTACGTTTGAATATTTTTTTGCAAAATTCTTTCTTATCTGAACTTTTTCAAGTGCAAACACTTCCATTTATTTTGAATCACAATACTTTTGTGCTTCTTCCAGCCATATCACAAACTGTGCAAATCAAAATTAAAATGGTACTTAAACAAACTCCCACATAAGTGAAATCCACAAATATTATTTGCAAACTACGCAAATTTTTATTTTGCGTTAATCTACCAGCATAGAAACTTTCACAATCACACGGAAAGAATGTTAATGGGAACTCACCCACATATAAATCAACAATGATATAATTAAAGACACACGTGTATAAACAGTGAAGCACATTGCAAATGTGAACAACACAACGTAAACTCAGATAAACAAACTCGATGCTATGTTAAGATCATAAATGAATTTTTTTACGTTCGTTGATTAATCTATTGGCATTGTTAAGTTCTTTTCATTCATTGTTTATTTCAAAATTCGGTATCTGGAATTTAATTTTTGAGTTTGAATAATGTTTCAATCCAAAATTTTATTTATTTTCCGAGTGTGCAATATATCAGATATAGATTTAAATGAACAACTCAAGACGTTTTTATCAATATTTCGTGCTGATGTTTGAACGTTTGAACTCGTCAACGCCAAAAACACATCAAGTCAAAATGCCAAAATCATTTTTTTTCATTTATTTGGGTGCAATATTTCTGAGTTTATGTTCGTTCATTCATTCATACATATATACACAACACACACACACTTACACACACATATATATATATATATATATATATACATATATAAACATTTTTATATATATGTTATAATATTTATATTAGTATAAATGTATATATGTACATAAAATCAGATATAATTGAAAATCAGTTGAACATATTGGGGGCAATGTTTTCAGCGTTAATTTTGTATTTAATTTTTGAAACAAACGTCAATGAATGATTTATCATTTAAACTTTTATTATTGAAGATAGATTCTCAAAAAACTTCATAACAGGATTCATGATTTATTTGAAATTTGTTTGCCTACGAGTGTCACAAATGAATGGATTGTCGGTGAAATTGTCTTGTTGTGTTATTTGTTGTTATTCTTATTTTGTGTTACACCTGAAATTTTTATCATGGGTATTGTGTTAATGTTTATGTGGACGATGTAGAGATGATGAGATGATGTTTGTTAGTTTTGACGAATAATTAAAATTTGTTTTACGCTGCTTGCTCGATGAAGATGAATGATTTTTTTACTGTTGCTAAAATTATGTACAAAAATTTCAAACATCCAGATTTAAAAATTGTAAACTTAAAAATTTTAAATTTAACATGAAAAATAGAATCTAAAGTGTTGAATAAACAATTGAATGCAAAAATTTGCGCTACAAATATAAAATAACATCAAAATTTCTATTGATGAAATAAGAGAAATTTAGGAAACCGAAGAAAAAGAAAATGTAGCAAGTAAGACAGATAAATCTGCTGACGCGTCATTTATCTGTGGGCACCTACGCGTGTGTCTACATGACAGTCAGACAGGGAGTGACGTAGATTTCATGACACGTGATCAAAATAATCAAATTGACTGTTGTTCCATTAACGTGATGATGTTGCATTGTTATTGCTGTTGTTGTTGTTGCTGTTGATGATGATGATGATGTCGTTGTTGTTAATGTAGTTGTTATGTTTCTGCCACTTGCATCTGTTGAGATTAGTGTTAATTTCAACAAGTCAATCACAATCACAACTGAATTTTTAAATTTGGTTAAAAAAATATATTTAAGCAGTCAGTTGAATAGTAAAAAGAAGATTTATGTAAATAAGTAAACTTGGGAGATGGATTGCAAAAAGTCACAAATTAAGAAAAATCATCATTATAACCTCAAACTTGATAACTTCGATAATAATGCCTTGCCAACACAATGACTCAAAGGCATAAAATGTAAATTTATGAACAAAATCACAAATTTACACCAAACCATTCTATCATAAGTACGCAAAACAGACAAACAACAAACTCCGACATCAAAATACACTAGCAAACGCAAAACTATGAACATGAAAAAGATCACATTTATCTGACTAAACAACCACAAACATACAAACACAAACATAAAAACACATGAATCAAATCACACATACATACAAACACAAGCATACATCAAACCACACAAACATACACACCCATACATCAAACCTTCAAACATACACACATACATCAAACCACACAAACATACGCACATATGCATCAAGCTACACAAAAATACACACACACATACATCAAACCAAACATACACACACACATACTTAAGACCACACAAACACACACTTCAAACCACACAAACATACATACACATACATCAAACCACACAAACACGTACACACACACATCATACCACGCAAACATACAAGCGAATGTGGAGCTTATCAGTGACCAACAGGAAGATTTCAACATACATAGATTCCCGACGGCGCATCATCAATACGTCATTATGACGTCATCGTCACGTGATCGATTCATCACGTGCCGTTTTTTTCTGTATTTGTTGGATTTATGGTTATGCGTATACCTCATCCTATGTTTGGTGATTTGTTTGTATCTTTCAATTTTGTTTTTTAATAAAATCAAACTCGAAAAATGGATTCATTCCAATTTGAATAAAAATTAAATATCAGTGAATTATCCCAAAGCCCGCATAATCATAACGCTGAAAACATCATGCATAGAACAAACATCATCAACATCACCATCATCATCAAAACAACAACGGCATCATCATCATCATCATGTATGGAACAAACATCATCATCGAAAACAACAACACCACTATCATCATCATCACCATTCTCATCATCATCGTCCTCCTCATTATCATCATCATCGGGTATGGAATAAACATCAGCATCACCAACATAATCAGCATTATCAGCAACAACAACAACACAATCGTCATCATCATTATATGTGAAACAGACTTGCTTCATCATAATTTAACATGTAACCACCAACACAAACAACAAACAGAGATTGGTGCGTGCACTGCAAATTTTATAACACTGCAGTTCAATAATACGCGGTCCAACTAATGGCCGCATCTAATATCCGGTACAACGTTTCCGGCACTCGATCATTTTGTAGCGCAGATTTTTCAAAAAGTCATTACTGTTAATGAAAACTGCGTTGAATAATGTGGGGTCTTGTGTATCTCAAATGCATATATACGTACACATACATATATACATACAGATACATATATACATACAGATACATATATACATACAGATACATATCTTCTTACAAATACATATATACATACAGATACATACGGATACATACAGATACATTTATGTGTGAATGTTTGTATTATTTGTGAGTCTATGTCATATGTATTTGCTTGTATGTATTTAATATTGAAGTACTTACCAGTGGGGAACTATATAAGTGATGTAGTTAGGCTATGCTGTTGGAGAGATTAACGATGAAGTTGAGGAAACAAAAATGTTGGTTGATTCATTGAATTTGATATAACGAACAACTTGTGAGGCCATCTTGTGCAACCTAAAATAACTGTTAAAGAAAATATTAAAAAATTCACCAATATCTGAATTTTTACAAAACATTTAGAGAATCATATTCTTTTTTAAGCGTTACATCATCAACATTATCACCATCATCAACACCATCATCATCAGCATCACCATCAACACCACCATCATCATCATTACCACCATCATCATCATCACCATCATTATCAACATCATTACCAACACGACATCATCAAAATGACAGACACTAACGGCCATTGTTCGAAAAGTTCAAAGGTCAAACATCTGATCGATCAGCTGATCGAGCTGTCAATCATTAGATCATAAGCCTGAGTGGGCGGGACCTATTATGCAGATGAGATGAGCCGTTATGACGTTCTGACCTTTTGACCTCATGTAGTCTCTTCCCTTCTAGTCAATCGATCATTTGAATTCAATTCACTGAATTATTGTTTGGGATATTGATGATAATGATGAAAGTGACGGTGGTCATGATGATGATGTTGATGATTATGATTCTGGATGTTAATAATAAAACGAGCCGCGGATTCATCACTCCATCAGAACAAATTTTTCAATTTTTTCTACCCTCCATCCAAATTTTTGTATATTTTTTGTTTCAATCTGTCCAGTTCTCCATGCTTCAAATTTACCCAACATGTAC